TTCAATATGCTGTGACAGCGGCGTACTTAATGCCGTGTTCAATGCTGACATTATTAGATACTACTGTTGGATGCCCCCGTATTAAAAGAAAACTTTCACGACCGATCAATATCAAATCAGTATGTGAACATACAAGAGTTAAAATATAAGTAAATAAAAAATTGAAGCGATTTTTGAAAAGTCACTTCAACGGATTAGTGATGCCTCGAAAGGTACACACGTTGCTCGCAGCTGCAGCTGAAGTCATTAACACCAAACCGCACTGACCCCGCTTTGTGGTGGGTGGGCCTGTTTCTCACCGTGAATGATTATGTAAACTAACCCGCGACTACAAGGAATACCTATCATATCTCATAGCAATAGTTATTTTTCCTTTATTAACTTTTATGACTTTTAGAGCAAGTTGAATAAACGTCCATTAATTTTCATTAGTTTAAAACGACATTACCCATTTAAATTTGACTTTAGAGCTTAAAGGCGTCATTAAACCTTAATGGACGTTTATGCAACTGACTGTTAAAATTTTATAACTTCGATTTCAAATGCTAACTTCAGTCCGATTAGGCTACGTGCTCACTGGTGACTTAGTCACTGTAATTATCCTGCCACCATGCTCTAAACTCCTTACAACGACGAGGGCACGAGATGATGCTTATGTAAAAAAAATTGCCTGTAACTCAGATAATAGATGTACGTATTTTGTTGCTTCAATTTAATAAGGAATGGTTTAGATTGGAATATAGGGTTTCAAAGCGAGGAGAGGGGGCTACGTAACAACTACATATGTAGGAATTGTAACCTCATATGATATTACGACTCTATTTTTACTGTTAGATTAAAATACTTCCATAATGCATCGTACCAATGAGTCAATTATAGGGAAACTCCGAGTTACCACAAGTCTCTCCACCGCTTTTATAAGAAGAATTTTTGGGTATATCGTCGAAAAGAATCAAGGGAAAAAATCAAGAGGACGTAGTCGTATGCAATGGACAGAGCCAATTCGCGCTAATACAGATTCTAACGTCACCGAAGACACGCGGCAGAAGATCGGGGAAAATGGCGTAACCTTATTCGTGATGTAATTAATAATAGAGACCACAACCCTACGCCGTAATTTATAGATCAAGCAAAAAATAAAAAAATATATATGATTAATATGTTCAATAAAAAGTTTTTCATCATTAGAAGGGAAATTCGAATTCGGTCGAGCGATTAAATACTTTTTTCCTATAAGGGAAATATTTTCTTCCAGATTTATTAAGAAATATAAATACCTTTATAAGGTAAAAATAGTGCCACATTAATTTATACGGTCTGCTGTAGTGTCACGATCTAATTTTAAACATCTCCCGGGTAACTACGCTAAAGTGGTATTCAATTTCTCGAGTTTGTGCTCACAGACAATATTTTTACAGCGTTCGTATTTTCAAAGGATGCGAACGTGACTTTCTCAGGTCTTATAAAATATAATGTTTACGTGATACGGAAGCGAGAATTATTGATAAAACAAAGACACGTAAACCTATATTATATTAATCTAAAATGAATAGCCACTGCGGCATTATAGTAACGTTCTTTGACTTGTTTAAATGTAAAAAAAAAAGTAAATATTAATACTTATATCAAAAGCAACTGATAGAGTCTGCGCATCTGATTAAAGCTTCAAGGCTGATTGCAGATAAAATAAAAAAGCAACTTATTCAATAAAATGCTATTTTTTAAAGTTGAAAGTCGGTTCTATATAAGAATAAAGGTTTTAATTGATGCTTTTTAGTGATATTGATATTTTTATATAATAGGTAACACTAAAAATACTTTTCTGAAAACCACGTCAAAATCGGTTCAGCCAAACGCGAGATAATCGCGGAAAATACATACAGCAAGTGTTAAAGTGTAAACCTCAATTTTTTTAGTCACAAAATAAACATACATACATACACATAGACATACAGACAGACATACATGCATACATACAGATCAAACTGAGAACCTCCAAAAGCATAGCTACCTTGAAAGCAATCCTCATAAGATACATTCATAATATTAAAATTTTATTATATGGAAACGTTAACGAAAATTATAATATTATTACAAAATATTTGATTTATTGAATTATTATTTGTTTATTTACCCCTGACTTCCATAAAGTACAAGTTCCACAGACAAACATGAATGAGTTTTACGTTTGAATGAATGACGAATGAGTAAAAATATTATCACGAGATTATTCTTTTACGCGCTTTGAAGAATTTAATTAAAATGAAAGATAAATTTAGTTTTCTGGGAAATAAGAGAAACTGTAATATCCGTTTGAGCCCCACAGTAGAATGCGTCCATGCGAAGCAGAAATGAAACAAGTGCATAGACTAATTTAATACATTAAAGAAGTTACCTGTTTATTATTATTTGTATTATATTATATATTTTTTATAAGCCAGCATTTCACGATTTCCTCATTTATCGAATGGTATAATAATAACCCTAATAAGATTATTATGATAAATAAACCTTTAATAGTCTTCAGTATTCCTTAAAATGAATAAAGTTTTAATTCAATTTTCTATTACAAACTAGAGTACCGTTTGGAATTTTACTACTTTAAAACCATTTTTGGTGATTTCTTAATATATAAGAAAAAATGTATTATGGGATGAATTTCACATATAGAAATTAACTATCGTTTAAGTGTTATTAATGAGTAACGTAATTACATTAAATTGTAAAGAGTTTTTCATTTTTGAAAAACTCTGCATCAAAGTTAGTCTACACGTTGCAACCAGGAAGTTTTGCTTATATGTTGACTGACAACAAATTCATGGCGCATTTCAACTGAACTCATAATATTTAAATGCCATGAAAACATTTTCTTAAATATTTATCGCTCTGTCCTGTAGCTACCAAAACCGCATCGTGAAGTTCTCTTTTCAAATATTACTGGAGGTATTTTGCAAATCTTTACTACTAATAATTAAGCTCAATGAACTACTGGAACGAAATGATTTCTTTTTGTATTGAATAGTCCATTCATCGAGGGAGGCTATAATAGGCTATGTAACATCACGCTATGCAGACAACATATAGAAAGTAAATATTTAAAAATCTACAAACAAACTAGAAAATCTTTTCAAATCTTTTCTCTTTATATTTTAATACAGATTAATTAGAGTCGGTCCAAATTTGAAGAAAGGTCCGTCAATACTATTATTATGTTTGTGATATCGACTAAAATTATAATTCAACTCAAGTGTATTTTTTATTCGTTTCTCCCCGTATAACAACGTTAGTGTTCTCGGTACATTAAACTCTAGCTGCTATATATCAGCGCAATGCGAGACTAGGGTTATCACTACAGTATTATAATAAGTTTATGATATTAGAATCGATATATGGAAAATAATATCCACTAATTAGAAACGCAATCAAGGGATATTTGAATACAATAATAGCAGTTAAAAAAAGTTATTTTTTAAAAACAAGCTTTTATACCGGCGCACTAAAACGTAAATAATAATTTTATGTAGTAAGTATTCATACCGTTAATGTTAAATTTTTATGCAAGAAAATGAACTTGTCTTGCATAAATATATTAATTATGTTTTAGTGCGTACAAATAAAAGGTTGTTTTTAAAAAACTATTTTTTATTATATTTTTATTTTTTACTTTTTAGTTTGTCTCATTCTATTCATTTCTGACACAGCATCTGTATTACAGTGTGTTTTTCCTGTTAATTTTTATATATTGTTGTTCTCATAAAGACGGATCTAAAGAGCCCAAACACGATCAGTTTCATTATTTCATTGCTAAGTTCCTGCAAACACATTTCAGATCCAGACCTTGGTCTGGAAATCATAAAGTGTATCGGTATCCAAAAAGTATAACGGGGACCTGTTACTAAGACTCCGCTGTCTATCCCTCTGTCTGTATGTTCGTGTGCCTATCTGTTTCCAAGCTATATCTCATGAACAGGCTTAGTCAAATAGTTGAATCTTTACAAACATCTGTTGCTATACCAACAAATTCTAAAAAAACGAAATACATGATTATTTTGCCGTTTTTATAGAATAGTACGGAACCCTTCGTGCGTGAGTCTGACTCGCACATGTCGCTATTCAAAAGCGATTGTTACAGTCTAGATTTAATAAATAATATTGAATATAGCCAGCCCTGCACGGATCCGTGTAAGTCTTTTATCGTTCCGTCTTCCACGTGGTCGCGTTTATGACTAGGCAGCAGCTAATCTGTTTCACCTAAACAGCTTACCGGCTTATATTAAAAACTGCGAAGGTTTAATATGCTTATTGTATAATAACTGTTACTAAATGATCTGTTTTCAAAACTTTGCACTTATTGTTTTTACGTTATTTGCTTTTAAGACATTCATTTTCTAGTGATCAGAAAACAAATTTTGAATGAATGAATGAAATATTTATTGGACACACAAATTACAGAAAATCATATTAAATAGACAGGCTAAAGAAATAAACCAACAGGTACTCTAGCATGGTGTGTTCAAAAAGCTCCAACTCACAGATGACTGCGACGTTGATTTTTAGCTGACACCTAGGGTTACTATAAGTATATTACAAGTGGTGTTTTTAAATTATCATATATATTTTATTTTAATTGCATTTAAGAAACACAAAAGGCTGATTTAATGCTTAAGGAAATCTCTACTAGAAAACCTGAAAGGATATTAAAAATTGTAAAGCGATAAATGTTTGTCTTTTTTGTGGTAATAACTTTGAATTTTTAGACCTTAAAATGTAATTTTTCATTTAAGTTAATTCTTTTTTCCAAACACAAAAGGTTTGAATTTCCCTTATATTTATCTTTAACATGGTTATAATAAACATATAACGATTACAACAAAAATAGCACGTTTTATCGGTCATTATCAGTACTTATCTATAGATTATAGAAAATGAATTGGAGTAAATGTTACTCTGTTTTAGTCTTATCAAAGCGTTAGAAGTAAAGTTTGTGTGCGTTACATAAAATGGGTAAAAAGAAAAAAGAAAATTTATCGTCTAAAAAGGAGGAAAATAATAAAGAGGCCAAGCCAAGTAAAGTGAGAAATTGTTGTTCGTTTAATAATAATGTAAGTTGTATTAGAAGTACTTACATTATACTTAAATTACTTATGTATCCATAAATTAAACTTAATAAGAGCTATTTCCATATTGGCAAAAGATACTTGTTTATCATGACTTGATAAGTTAAAAAAATAACATTGTGTTTTTTTACACATTAGCCAGTAGAGTCGATAACCGTCTTCGAAAAAGACGTGTATTCACATTGAGAGGCTGCTCGCCAGCTATGCCTCGCGAAGTGGAGACATGTTTCTCGCCTCACCAGTAAATGTTAACGTTACCATGCGCATGCGACGCTGGTATTGCTCACTTTTGCCTCGTAAGCATTCTCGCAGTATGAATTTAGAAACTTAATAATATTTACAACCAGTGACAAAAAATAGAAGTCATCAATCGAGATTAATACTATACTATCTCTTAAGTTTGACCGAATTTATTAAAAAAATTAATCAATTTTTTTAAATCGATTCAGAGCTGACCGCAAAAAATATCACGGTATTTTCCTTACACATTGTGATTTACTTTCTTTACTTATATTTTTTCAGTGTTGCTCAATTATATCCTGTCTCGTAGCAATATTTGCTGCCTTTTTAGCGTATAAGGCTTACACAACGTTAACACTTGTGCCTGACCTTCCAACATTAGACTTGGAGGCATGGTGGGGTCCCAATGATACTAGAGGGAATCAAGACACTTCAATAAGACCTTTTCGGATCGTTTTTAGTGAGTCCGTAAGTCGTTAAATTTATTTGGATTACAATTATAATAGCATACGCAAAATAAAAACTTATTATATTTTTCAAAGCTGAGTGTCCATTTTAATGTAGTAACTAAAATAAGACCAAACTAAGCTTTCTCTTCTAATCCAAATCCAATTTATATGTAGCAATATGCATCAAGATATATGAAATATTTAATCAGTTATTTTAGTCATGTTAATTGATAAAAGGCGATTAAAAGTATTTGTTTGTGTTGCAGAATATAATTAAAATCAGAGTATAAAAAAATGCTGCAATGTTGCTTTAAAAAATATATGGATTTTCAGATGCTTACTGACTTACGAAGAAGATTCGATGACTACAGACGATTAAAGAAGACAAAATCGTTTGAAAACGCCACGTGGACCTATGGCGTTAACTCGGACGGTTTTGGTAAAATATTTGCCCATTGGGTGTTTAAATACAAATTTAATAGAAGGGAATTGTATTTGAACCAGTACGATCACTTCAAAACGAATATACAAGGAATGGACATTCATTATGTGCATGTAAAACCAAAAGTGGATAGAAATGTTAAAGTAAGTTATTGTTAGAATGAGGAAATATTTAAAAAAAAGCACTAAAAAAGCACCTCCACTAGATGGCAACTCTAGCAAAAGTTGATTTTTGCAGGAAACGAATGGACCAAAGATAATCATTTCCATTCCGTTTAACTAACATATTAAATACTGAAATTTGCAAAATTCGAAACAAAGATATCAAAACAAATACGAAAAAGTACAAATAGAATATGAGTTGTTTATTGAGTTTTGAAAACTAATTTACTTTTATAGATGAAAGATTCCGGTTTTCTTTGTCGTCATGGAGAAACCAAGAAAGCAACTAGCTTTATGTAGTTTAATTTCGGGAACTCATGATTTTTTAAATACTTCCTTCCACGTGTGTTAATCCGCTTTCTTTTCATGAGCGTGTGTTTTGATAATTTCTAATTAAATTTACTGTTCTAACAAAAGATGTCATTTTCAAAAATTAACAACCCCGTTTCAAAGAAACCGAAAGACATTAATTAAATAACACATAAATTAACGAATTTTAAAAATTACGGAGAGGTTTAGAAATACCTCTTTTTATGTCATGGCAAATATAAAACAGCTATCTCAAAAACTTATTTTGCCACCTTAATAATGATACCGATAAAAAAAAACAGTATGAAAAAGTCAGTAAACTCGTAAATGTATTGTAACAAGGAATGTTATTTTAGTTTTTTTACTATTAATAGCCGACATGACTATTGAAAATTTTGCACAATCACATAGTGTTTAAAAGTTACAAACAAATATAGATAGCTAATCAATAAAAAATAACAGTTTTAAAAAGTCTATCGTTTCACATAGATCAAACATCAGTGCTTAACTAAGTTGACATCGATTTGTTTCGCATCGGATTCAATCAAAACGGTCATCCGATGGTCAATACTGTACTGGCATTAATGAATTAATGGCAACCACATGAAAGCCAATGTAATTACGCGATAGATCTAGACACTTTTTTTTATAAATTTTCCTTTTTGAAATTCGAATATTTTTTCAGGTTGTTCCTTTGCTCCTTCTTCATGGATTTCCAGGTTCCGTGAGAGAGTTTTACGAAGCAATTCCGCTATTGACTACACCGCGGTCAGAGCACGATTTTGTGTTTGAAATCATCGTACCCAGTCTGCCAGGATTTGGATACTCGCAGGTTAGGTAATTCATATGATACTTTCCATTTCATTAACATTTCCTTCCATTTTCCTTGTTATGTATAACAACTTTTCTCGGTAAGGTCGGGAGTACATTCTCTGAGTTCTATCATGGAACCAAGTAATACTTTTGCGAGTGGAGCACGCGCACCAAAATGTCAAGATTTGATCAAAGATCCCAATTCATACCAACGCCTTAGAACGTTATATCTTATTACAACGTCTTATTAGGTAAAATAAATAATAAGATAATCATGGTTTGACTTCAAAACATATCGTTATTCCTATTTCAGGGTCCAGTCAGACCTGGTTTATCAGAAACGCCAATGGCCGTAGTCATGAGGAATTTAATGCACAGGCTCGGTTTTAAGCAGTTCTATATCCAAGGCGGTGACTTGGGCCACAAAATCGGCATGAGCATGGCCACTCTCTTTCCCAATGAAGTATTAGGCTTTCATACCAACATGGCAGTTACAATCACCGATCTGTCAATTCTGACGTGGGTGTTTGGAGACATTTGGCCTAGTTTCATTGAAAAAGAATACTCAAACAGACTTTACCCAGTAAAGGATAAGGTCAACTTTTATCTGGAAGAGTCCGGATATTTACATTTGCAGCATACAAAACCTGATACTATAGGTAAAATAATTTGTTTCTATAATGTAATTGCCTTACATTATATTTTTCCTTAATAAACTTTTGAGCTTCAGAATTAAAATTAGTATTAGTACACAAAACTAAAAAAACTGCTGCATTTCTAGAATAGGTTCTAGAGCTGTTAATAGATTATTTTAAATATTGAATGTCGAAGCCGTACGTAGAAAATTTTACAAATATGTATGTACACGAATAACTTCCGAATGTTCGCCGGGTGAGCTTGTCATTTATTCCAAAAAAAAATGCTTAAAAATTTAAACGTTTTTCGTAGATTTTTGGCAAATTTACCACAGAACCTAAAATTATAGAACCTTGTAATTTTCGTGACTGATTTGGTTAATGTACAAACAAAAAGCTTTTCCATATCACCTTGAGTCTGTATGTTGTGATAGCTTCCTTTCTCCAGATTTCCATAAAATAAAGCGTTAAAAGCCCCATAACCTCAGAATTGTGCAATTTTCCCATGTCATGTTGTTAATATTTAATTTCGAACTGATCATTTACAATAGGTATCGAAAAACCACTTCTAATGTATAGAATTCCAATGTAATATATCTGTTAACTTCTCCTATTATAGAACTATATAACTATGTTCCAGGTGTTGCTCTCAAGGAGTCACCAGCAGGCTTAGCTGCTTATATTATAGAGAAATTTGTCATAGGCACTAACCCAGAAAATAAGTTCCTAGATGACGGTGGTCTGGAGAGTTTCGATACTGACGACCTCTTAGACAATATTATGATATACTGGGCGACTGGCTGTATTACTACATCTATGAGAATTTTCAAAGAGACCTCAAGAAATAAAGAGATGGAAACTGCTTTGGAAAAGTAAATATTATCATTTTTAGTTCATCAACACGAAATTAAATTCTGGGTCCAAAATATTTGTCTGTGACAATAAACCGTCGATTGACATAAGTGGTGTTAAGATCGATCTTAGAATTTAATGTTATATCCACTTGTATTGTATTTCTCTCTCTCTCTTTTCAGCCTTTCTCGACCCTTTGGGTGTAGGCCTCCTTCAATTTATGCTATTTTTATCGATCTTGATGCATAAAATTTTTCCTAACGGTCCTATTGATTTAAAGACACAAAGCTATTTTCGTCGTTCTATATATTTAAATCTAGATTAGGCTTATTCAATATTTCAAATGTATCAGACCTACATTTCATGATGTTTTGAATGTCTATTGACTAATGTTTTGAATATAAATTTGTATTGTTTATTCCACAAAAAATATGTCACAACCTCTAATAAAATAACTTTCATTTATTTTATCAAGATTGAACCAACATTTTCTCAAATATTTACCCTGCTTTTAAAAAGGAATTCCTTATAAACAACAATAGATTTAATAACGTCAAGTGCCTAACAAACAGCGATTTATCACAATATCGGCATTTTCTTTTCAATTAAAAACTTTTTACAGGATACCGACGGAGGTCCCGACGTGGGCTTTGAGATTGAGACACGAGATATTTTTTATGCCAGAGTTTATGATCAAATGGAAATTCCCCAATCTGTTTGGTACTACAACTTTGGATGTGGGCGGCCATTTTGCAGCTTTAGAAAAACCCGAAGTGTTCGCTCATGATGTATTCAAAGCGGTAAAGTCTTTCAGAGAGTTCAATCGATTCAGTTAATTTTTTTTATAATAAAGCGAGAGAAATTAAACTTGTTTCGTGTTTAATTTGTATTTATTCATTATTATAGCATACAATATTGTTTAGCACTCCAGCAAAACCGTATACACGATTTGGCTGCCGGATCATGAGCCTCGTCTTAAGGGAATCATATCATCTCATCTCATCATTTATTCCATAAAACAATATTCATTGTATCGGAAATAACAATATACAATATGGCATTATTACATTTCGATTAATTAAGAATTAAAGAGGTAGTTTCTTAATTTTGTGCAAAACTTATTTTTATTAATCTCTTGTCTAATATCCGTGCAAAACTGTTTCGTAAATAGGGTAGGCGTTTTTTTTACGTAATAATTATTTACCCTATGCTTTTCATACTTTCCCGCGGGCACCGACCGTGTTACCCACAGAACACAGAAAGACTGTATGATTAATATGGAGACTGAAGACTGACAGTATGATTAATATGGATAAGTCATGCTCTCCACTGCCATAGTGATTTATCGCTAATAAGTATTTATATTTCAAAATAGCCGAAAGTATTTTACATATTTTAAACATTTTTTTATAATCCGTCTTACAGTCAGCTTTTGTTTTATTGTTAACAAGTAATTTCAAAAATCTAGTTGGAAATGCTTCAATTTTATATATATTCATGATAGTAATATAGATATACCTACTTCGAAAAATGGAAAGGATTTTAAATAAATTATTAAAAAAAATGAACTAAGGCGTCACTTTTACATTTACAAAATGTTAAGTAAATGTATGACATAACCGAAAGTTATTCATGTAATGAATCACTTACGAGGTCGTCTACCCGACTTAAACTATGCTGTTTGGTAAATAAAACCAAATGCGATTTCCACTTTCGCATGTTTTAAAAAATAGAAAAAAATCCGCACAGAGAGGAAGTTGAGGACGGCAACGCGGCAAATCGAGTTACTCAATTTAGCAACGCTGACTCGATTCTAACCGATTACTTTGCATCGAGACGAAATTGTATTCGCTTGTTTCTGTTCAAGGAAACGATTTATGGCTTTTTTAAAAGCAACGACACTGGTGTGTAATTAAGTTGCCTCGGTGATTTTCTACGTCGTTTTCAACTTTTTTATTCGCATGATTTGATATATTTTTACATAGTATATATGAGGCTGTGATTTAACTTTTGCTTAATACTAAAAAATACCTTTAGTAGTTCATGCCTTAAAAGCATAAAGAAAAAATCTGGTAAATTACACTTTCTTATGTTATATTACATGACATAATTAATATAATAACCAAAAAATTTGGAGTCACAAACATTGCAATTCAATAACTCCTTAAGGTGTGCTATACTTTTTTATTTTGAACTTATCAGCTATTGATTATTCTACGGATCTTAGATAAATTGCTTTAAAAAAAGCTATAGCCTAAGCTTTTAAACCCTTCGTAATACATGCGTATTGACTTACTAAAATAAATGAATATGCTATTTACTATAAGAAAAAAAAAATGTTTTGGAACTTCACAATTCTAACTAATGTTTCGGGTAGCTCAGCTGCCGAAATAACGAAGTCTCTTTTCAAGAACTGAAATTGAAAAGATAATTTTTCTGTGAGATAATCTACAATATATCATTGTGTATGCAGATAATCTACAATATATCATTGTGTATGCTACGAGTATTATAAGAAAAACTAGCTCTCTTCCAGTGGCTTCCAGTTTACGGTTTTCTTAATGGTACTTTTATCCATAGATAACCATTCATGGGATAAAATATATTTTATTCCAGGGTTACCAAATTTCATCAAAATCCGTTCAGCAGTTTTTACGTGAAAGAGTAACAAACATACATACAGCCTTACAAACTTTCTCATAAGATAAAAATACTCGGCCAAAAAGTAAATATGCCTATTTAAGTCGCTTTAAAACTCTATATCGTTTAGAACGTCGCAGTCGTCGCCTGTCTAGACGTCGATATTGTTACGAAAGGCAGTAATTCGATTATCGCAAATGTTCACAGAGCAATTTGTAACTTTTTTGTCGGTAAAACCTTTTCTCTTTCATTTTTCATCAATCTACATATAATATCTTATAACGCACTCTAATTCTTCTCCCAATATCACAAAAATTACCAAAACTTCGCTTCAAACCGATAGTGAAGAAACCTTCTCAAAGGGCGTTCAGGTCAGTGTGGGTAACCAAATATTTACTATCTTGAGCTCCTCCGTGCTTTAAAAGGGACGTTAAGCCGCTGATCCAGCTGCATTACATTGAAATATATATTATTCTATGTACCTAGAAATAGAAATATTTAGTAATTTTCACCAATGTATAATTTATAAGTAAAGTATTCATTCCTAAAGAGTTAAACCAAGGTATTTATCGCAAAACGACAAGCAGTGTTGCATTGGTATACAAATAATCCGCAATACGAAGCCTTCGTCAAGAAAATAATCCCAAAAGCCGTTACCGCGGAATTATAATTTCGCCGAATTAATTCTCATTCATTTTTCAGCGGGCACCGCACAACACCATAGGGCTGCGCCTAAAAATAACTATATGTTATTGTCAAGTACTTCAAAAACCGCATCCCTTCTAGAATCACTCGCTTGTTTGTCGCTCACGTGTGATAGCTTATTTACTACTGGAGTGATTGTGGTGTTATTTGATAAAAATAAGCTAAAATATAACTTCAATTATCTTCAAAACCACCAATGCTTAAATTTTGAAAAAAATGCAGAAAACAGTTTTTCCCTAAAGATTACAAGAACCTCTTTAAAAAATAATCGTTTTTTTTTTCAAAACAAATAAAAAACAAAAGCTTTATTTAAGAGAAAAATACAAATTTTATAACTGCAACGGCTTAACTTCAAAGTTTAAAATCTCATTTGATGGCAAATATTCGCCTCTTTTATTATCACATTTAGGTACTTTCTCGAGACTGATTATGGTATTTCAAATAAAAAAATAATCACTTTTGACATACCGTGAAACAAATATTCAAATTGAGAATATCGTCGTTTTTAAAGACGGTAACAAAAATCATAACATATGAATTATGTCCTCACATAATCATGTTATGCTAATTTATAAGATTATAATATTTTGAGAATATAATAATTTGTGGTTAAGATATATCTAGATGAAGGGTATTTCAAACGAATTTATAATAAATAAACAGAATAGCAACGTTATTCAAATTTCAAGGTAAACATCAAGCTGACGGCTTCGTATTTGGGATATCCAATACAATAAATCAGACTATCTAGACTCGCCTCTATTCAATTTTGACAGAACTACTCAGCATCTAAATAGTTTAATGTATCAAACATTAACTAAAGAAATGTTAAATTTGAGGAGAAACGAAATTCTAACAAATAATAAAAGACTACTGTGAGCATTATAGACAGGCAAACTTTGAATGCAGTACAAATATATAAATAAATCATTGTTCCATCGATTAGTCTGGACCCGGATAATCTGGATAATACAAAATAATTTGTGCAATTATCTTTTCTCATAAATGACAAATAAAATCAAATTGTAAATCAATGTAATTAAATAAATACCGTTGAAATACATAGAGGTCTTTACGTTAGATATGTTGTTACTATTAAATCCGACGCCGAAAGTGACGCTTGAAATATAAATCACTCACATGTTGGCTTCAGACCGAAATGCAACACTGTCATGATACTATTTCGACACAAAATCTAGGTTCGCGGTAAGAAGTCTATCTAATATAGTTTTAAGTATCACTTACATATAACTGTTCATATATTACCATAATACCAAGTTTCAGTAATCAATTTTGAATTTAGATATAAATCTTTTGGGCTTGAAACCGATTGTAGAGATCTGTTCTGTAATTAAACTGGAATAAAGGTTTCACCACGCCGGGCCCGAACCAACGTCTTGACGTGCTTTTTAATCGTTTATGTACACACGGCTACAAAAAATATGTCACATTTATTTGTGACAAATTTGGATTCTGCTCTCAAAGCAATAAAGTTTAAAATAGAGTGTTATAAATTTAACAGTTTTATACAAACTGATGAGTTGTTGACTGTATCTTCTAGTTCAAGCTTAAATAAAATAAAAAAAATATAAAAATCTCTCTCTTGGGTAATTGTAAATAAATAAATATTGTAAATACTTTATATACATTCTGTAGAGTTTAAATTTGTGATCTTATTATTTTCTACATTATTTATTTTATTGCATTTCTATAAAATGAACAAGTAAAGATATCAACTGAATATTTATGCAACAAAACGAAATAATGATGTTTTAAAATATCATCAAACCAATAAATCTTCTGTCGTAAATATTTTCGACAACCCTACACAAGCAAGACGAAATTATGACGGACTCAAAACTGGATCCAAGACGGATTACAGCATTTTGTTACGGGTTTATTTAAATTTATATAGACGCTTGTAGCTTCCGAGCCTCAAGCAAACGGAACGTGGATTAACATAGTTTATTCTTCGTGTATTTGGGGAGTTCCACAAAACTTTTTGGGAGCAATAAGTTTTTATGTTATTCATTTTTTTTGGTAACATTACTACTTCTAAAAGTGACTTCGACTGCCAGCGGGTTAGTTTTTGAACGACTCTTATCTCACTCATTTGTTATTTTTCCTTGCACGTTTTTTTCCTTGCGTATTTTTGTTAGCAATGTTTACCATCAAGGCAAAAAAATAAATCCACGTCATTTTGTCTCATTAAAATATGCACTTAGCTTCTATGACTTAAAATATGGAGACTGAAAGCATTTTTATTCTTTTGGTGCCTTATAGTTAAAAATATATGTATGATAAAATAGTCTGTACGCTGATATATGTATATCTGAGAGATGTCCAGAAATGATACCGTGTTTTCACTGGATGAATTTTCACGAACTGACATTCAGAAAGAGCATAGCGTTACTCAAAATTTCAAATTACGAAAAGTGAATAATTAAAATGAAATTTTAAAGATCAAAGACAAAAAGATTACGTACCAAAA